AAACGATTCAGGAATTCATTTCGAAACTACACAAAAAGTTCAAAACCAAAATCCTCGACCACACAAACCCCCTAATCCAAGAGACTTTTTCCCGAACAATCCCAAAAATCCACTTCTAATTTTCCAATAGTCTAATGGCAGACCCCCCTTGGGAACACCCACCTTAAGAAAGAAAAAAAACCTGGTCCAACGAAAAACAAAATTTAAACACATTAAAGATAAATAAGGCCAAACTACAGAACCAGTTTCTTCCAAACTACCCCAAAACTTACCTCTTCTTTTTCAGTGGATTTTTTTTTCTTATTCACTAATCTCAGGCAAATAATCCCCTACCTCACCCAGGCTTACTCATAGGTCAGCACTAAAGACTAAAAGCCCTAACTGGCTAAGTCTAAAAAACTTTCAACACAAGACAAGTTTTAAGGAGAGTTCTCTAGCTCTACCCACCGTTCTCTTAACTACCCGCCAGATAGTTGATTATTATTGATTCTCTCGTGCCAGTTCAGTAGAGCTGCCCGTCAGATTCGAGCTTGTCATCATCCGCATTTATTTCCACCCTCAATAACAAAAAAAGCATCACCGGTAAGTAGAAGGTAACACCAGGACCGCTGCGGGTATGGCTTCCGAGGGCAGAGGGAAAGAGTGTTACAAACTCCTCGTTCCGCCTGACCTCGGCGGTTTTACCAGGATAGGGTCTGCTCGCTTTGCTCTGGGTATAGGGTATCTGGCTGGGCTGGGTATCACCCGCCGGGACAAGAATTAATTGTCATAAATCACTATCGTTCACCACCGCTTAATTAAAAGCCGCCACGTGTTCCAACCAACCCGTTACGCACCTCTTCTCCCCTGTTTCCGAATAACTTAATTCTGTAATCGCATTTCTTCATTAATTTTAAAATCATTCGTAAATACCATTTTATTTTGTTGAATATAAATCGTCAGTCCGGACAGATATGTATTTCAATAAATTCCAAAACACCTAAAAATCGCCCCGTTATCTTGATTTTTATTATTTTATTGTTAAACCGAAATGTTCTCGTTAGCGTTGTTTATTTGCTTATTTTGTCAATGTAGTTTCGGATCTGTCAATGGATAAACCTTATATTGTTTAATTCTGCCCACTGCGCATTGACTTCTGGGTTTTTCCTTTCTCCACTATATAAAAGCTACCCTCGCTGTGGGGCCATCACCACGTAAATCCTGATGGCTGGCGCCCGAGATTTCCGAAAGCCCGTTCAAGTCCGAACATGCTAGACTACCAGCATTAAACCTTAAATTTGAAAGGTAAGTTCACGGAACAACGTTTTTCTTTTTCTCCGATTCCCCAGACGCCATTACTAAAATGGCGTCCGAGCAAGGACGTTACTTCTGTTCTTCTTTCAAGTTTTTCCGAACTTCCCGTTTTTTTTTTTCTTCCCGTTTTCTCTTCTTTATTTTGTCACCAATTTCCCAGACGCAATTACAAAATTGGTGCCCGAGCAGGGACGTCTCTTTGCCTTTTCTTTCAAGCTCTCCCGTTCTAATGTTCTTTTCTTTCCTTTTTATTTCTTTTTCTTCAATTTCCCGGGCGCCATTACAACACAAACTTACCCTTACTATTAAATTAGATTAAAAAAGCGATTTTTTGCTTATGTTGGCGACAATGTTTTTTGAATTGGCGACTGGCGATGTTTTTGGCGATTTCGTTTGGTTTTGTGATTTCGGAGTTTTCTATTAGCTTAAATATCTAAACGCTAGTATCTGAAAACTGAAGCTTAAATCATAAACCTAAGCATATTAGAACCTTATACTTAAACCCTTCGGGGAAGTCAAGCATGTATGATTTTAGATAATCGAATAATCAAGAGATATAGGTACCAGCCAAAAGATATGTTTATAAAAAATAAAGACAATTTTTTTAAATTCGCCTTTATGGTAAAGATTAATATATGGTGTTAGAATTTTAATCCTACTACTGATATGATTAAAAATTTTATATCAAGCTTAATGACAAATCAAGAACGAAATACGGATAGTAAAGTCCAAGCGATTGACAAGACATACAGTTTTGAGTGTCAACCGAAGAATTAAAAAACTTGAAGAAGATACTAGACGAAATTTATACTCAAAAGTTTAAAAAAACTATAATGTATAGTACAATTAAAATTATGACTTATTTAAGTTGTTTAATATCAGAAACACATTTCACAAGGCAATCATTTATTAAATTTAAAGGATATAAAGTTTATCACGCAATTCATCCAGAAAACGCAGCGAAAGGAGGAAGTGCGGTAATAATGAAAGAAAATATTTGCCATTATGAGGAAAATAAATTTGAAGCAGAAGACATGATAGTGAAAATTATAACCAAGAATGGTAACATTACGTTGTCTAGTGTGTATAGTCCTCCAAAACACAACATCGAATGTGGAAGATATGAAGAACTCTTCAAAAATCTAGAAAATCGATTTATAATAGGCGGAGACTACAACACGAAGCATACGCACTGGGGATGCAGACTAATTACAACCAAAGGAAGGGAATTGCTAAGAACGCTCCAGAGCTGTGGATGTAATTAAAAATGTATCAAGCAATTATATGAAAATTGAAGACAACCTGGAGTTTAATTCGGATTATTCATCGATTGTTTTGGCTCTGAGTGAGTCATTTCAAAGCCAAACAAGCCCTGTCTAGCTAATAAAAGGACTGACTGGAAGAGTTTTAGAATAACATTGGAAAAACACACCAGAAATTAAAAAGAAGCTGGAAGGAAATAACTATCCTAAAGAAATTCTGGAATTATTATCGAAAAAAAGAAAAGCAAGGAAAAAATGGCAACAGTCCAGATCCCCGCAGGATAAAACTAGACTAAATAATTACATTACATCTCAGCTGATACTAGAGATTAAACAGATAAAGAACGATACCATTGGCGAGTTCCTACGGAAACTTACTAATGATTCTAGTACAGAATATTCTCTACGGAAAACCAGCAAAAACCTGAAAAGACGAATCATGCATGTACCCCCAATTAAAAATGCAGATGAGAGCTAGGCTAAAAGCAATGAGCAAAAAGCCAGAAGATTTGCAGAACACCTTGAGGAAATATTTCAACCTAATGCAGTGGATAACGCAGAAACATTGCCTCATATTACACAGCAGGAAGAACCCTGCTAAGCTCACCAACCTGATCAATGCTTCATTTCGACTTCAGTGCGTCCCACAGTTATGGAAGGTGGAAGAAGTGATTATGATTCCAAAACCTGGAAAACCACTTCATGAAGCAATATCATATCGTCCAATATTACTACTACCAGTTATGTCCAAACTATTTGAAAAACTTCTATTGAAAACACTAAACCCATTAATTGAAGTTCAACAGATTATCCCGGATCATCAAATCCATAGAATCGTCAATACTATAGAAAACTCGCGAGAAGATAATAAATTTTGCTCAGCTATATTCCTGGATGTTGCACAGACTTTCGATAAAGTCTGGCACGAAGACTTGATACATAAACTTGAAAAGTTGCTTCCGGTTCAATACTCACAAATATTGAAATCTTACACAACTGAGAGGTACTTCAGTGTCAGGCAAGACAATGCAGAAGGAAATTCAAGCAGGGGTTCCACAGGGCAGTGTATTGGGACCAATATTTTATCTACTATACAGATCGGAACTGCCAGTAGGCTCTGATGATGTCAGTGTGAGTGGGGTTGAAGAAGAATTACGACAAGCTACTGTTGCTGATCAAAATGTTGTTGCTACATTTGCCGATGACACTGCAATCCTAGCGATAGGCGACAGCACTATGCAATCTACTGAAAAACTCCAATCAGCTATAGATGAGGTTCAACGTTGGACCCTGAAATGGCGCATAAAATTAAATGAAGAGAATTCGGTCCATATCGACTTCACCAACAAACAAATAAACTACAAACCAGTATACATTAATGACAAAATTGTACCATATGGGAATACAGCTCTAGGCATAACCCTCAATTCAAAACTCAGATGGAAACCACACGTTAAGAAGAAACAGGAAGAACTGAATCTGAAGTATGGAAAGATGTATTGGCTATTGGGTAGAAACTCAGCTCTCATAGTGTATAACAAGCTATTGTTATAAATAAGAATATGATATAATCAAGTCCTCAAGCCAGTGTGGACTTATGGTGTGCAAGTTTGGGGCTGCACAAAACAGAGCAATAGAAACATACTTGCACATACAAACGGTCTTGGCAGTTCTGAATTCACTATTATAGCTCTGGAAATTCATTACACTGGGCACCTACCTTATAATACAAATCACTATGATGAGAATGGCAATGAAAGCTACCACACCACCCACGATACCAATGATCAGCGTATCATCATTGTTCAAAGTAGACAGGCCATTTGCAGCAGTTTTTACTTTTTGTTCAATTTTATCCGTTACTGGCGTTGACCAAATTATATCCATTTCTGTGGGTTTCTTTTGCAAACTGGTTGTGTCAGATAAACTGGACATTGTTGGGTGGGTCGTGGATTGTTGAAGTATCTTCTTTGGATCACATGTTAGTTCATCATCACCAATTTCAGCCAGATATTTGCCTGGAAATATAATTGAAAGTAGTTTAGTGTTGGATTCATATACATATGATTTTATTGCTACCCAGGCGAGTGTCAAACCAATTGAAATGAAGCATTACTATAGTAATATTCAAAGAACGAAATAAGAAGAGTCCTAGCAACTACCATACGATCACCTTGCTTAATACAACACTAAAATTGCTATCGAAGATAGTCGCCAATAAGATCTTAATAAGTAATAAGTACAATCAGAGAAATAAAGGGAAGGGATGTATCAGTTATTTATTTTCGGTGGAGCTATGGATAAGATAGTATCCTGGATCACATAGTATGCTATGCGGACGACGCAATACTTTTGGCGGACTCTGAAGGCAATTTAGAATGACAATTTTTTTAAACTTTTTTAACCCATAAGCCACGTCACTAAGTGTGGAGTGAACATCAACGAGGCATACCAAGGACTATCCAAATTTCCAATAAGATGTAAAATATGACTTGTTAGTCAATTTACGTATCTGGGAGCAGTTTAACAGCAGATAACAATGGAGATCTGAGAACAAAATTATAATCACAGATAATCAAATCATTTAAATTTGGTTATTTTGAAAATTTATATTTTTATAGAGAAAATTTTATTTGGAATAAGACGGTGATTTTGGAACAAAAACGCGTGTAGAATGGGCTATGATAAATTACGAAAAATGACAAATAAAACTACACCAGTGCGAAGATGACGAGGAAGACCGCGACACGTTGGAAAGAATGCTGAACATGTCATCGGTCGAATATATCTTTTACATGTGGGAAACCGTATCGACAGAAAGGAATACCAGAAGAAAAAGATCCACTGTTAGGAGGAACCAGTTTTCTTTCTTCGATTTCAGTATGAACAGATTAAGGTGCGAGACCTCAACGGGTCAGGCCAGTGACGGATCTAGCTTTCATGTCAGGGGGGTGTCTTTTGTTGTCTATAAAATTAGAAAAAATATGGCTAGTCTACATAAATCATGAACAAAGGGGGGTCATGACCCCCATGACTCCCCTCCTTGATCCGCCCTTGGACCAGGGTTAGTTTTAAATTTGACCGACTTGGTTTACTTACCAGCTAAATATGCTGGGCTTGAACACTTTACAGTCATCATGTGCGAGGGCAGCCATCTTCTCAAAGCCCGTGAATTGCAATCGCAATTTATGGGATTGGATTGTAATCCAGTCAGCTGCAAATCTCCTCTTCTATCTTCTAACGTTGTTAAAAGTTGTACATTCAACGTAGTTAACTGATTCCCGGTCACATCTAATGTGGTTTTTGAAGATCTAGGGACCGGGAAAAAGAGAGAGGGTGGAATGGATGTTAGGGAAGTATTTATAAAGCTGATTAATACATTCGGACCTAAAATAACAAATTTTTATTTTGGATTTCAAATTACATGAATGTAATGATATATGCTAAACATAAAACAGTAGTTCTAATTCAAGTCTTGAATTAAAATATGCGTATTCACAATTCAACTAGTTGATGTTTGAATAGAATGAGAAGCAAATATTCATTTGGGCAGCGGTTTTCCACAAATACTTTTTTGATCGCGGAGTTGAATAATAATAGTTTTATTAATAGAACAGAACCAGGATTTGCTTTACTTCAAATTATATTTTGAACGCTTTTCATATTTCTGTTGTATATTAATATACAATACCTTTAATTCCCGATAGAGTTCCAGAGGAAATAATTCCGAGTCTCGATCCTCTAATGCCAAGTTCATGTAGTCTTGGATGTGACATGATTTGTAACTGGTCTTTACCTATGGCTGCATCTTTGGTTTCGATATTCAGTTTTTCTAATAGTGGCATATTTTGCAATATTCCGTTTACATCAAGATATCCAATTTTCGGGTATCCGTAAGCGTTCAACTCGACTAGATTGGGTACATTCTTGAAACTCGTTTTTTCAATTTTACTGCATTCTTTTAAAGAATGAATGCTCAAATATCTAAAATCAAGTTTTAATTACTTGCATATTCTATGGAGAAGTAAATAATTTAATGTTGGAGCCAAATGTGAAAGAACGTAAATATTTTTAGAAAGGTACAAAGAAAACATTATAGATGTATTATATTTTTTGTTTCCTGGGTTTCAGTCAAAATGTGAAATAAAAGTTCGTACTTATCGAATATTTCATAAAAGTTATTTCACATTTTACATGGAACCTAGGAAAAAATACAATAACAATTACTTTTGCCCTTGCGTTTCGCATTTTCATATGTAAAATTTAGTTTTTCATTCATAATAATGAATGTAATAAACCTAATATTGATTTCATACATCTATAATTTTGATTTATTTTGGCAGGAAAATAAATCAAAATTATAGATGTATAAAATCAATATTAGGTTTATAATATTCATTATTATGAATGAAAAACTAAATTTTACATATGAAAATGCAAAACGCAAGGGCAAAAGTGTTGTTCAGATTTAAAAGCAGTACTTCTCTTCTTCTTATATATAGTTCCTATCCGGTTCGGATGCTGTCTATCATACATGCTATCTTAACTTTGTTTACTGCAGCCCGGAACAACTCAGTTGTACTACCAAACCAGGTTCTAAGGTTTTTAAACCATAAGATTCGTCTTCTACCCACACTTCGTTTTCTTAGTACTTTTTCTTGCAAGATAGTCTGCAGTAAGTGAAATCAGTTTTCATTTCTCATTACGTGTCCCAAATATTGGAGCTTTCGTTCCTTCACAGTATTAACCACTTCCCCTTTCTCGCCAATTTTAAAGGGTTCTCTATTTTATGCTTGAGAAAGTAAAGATGGAGACAAAAATTTCAATTCATTATGAAGATTAAACCTTGCCATTCTACGTTAAAAACAATATCATTTAAATGTCGTCCACGGGACCTCCTACAGGCCTCAATCCTTTTGAGGTAATTTTGAATGACTTTGCGGCACATTATGGGTAATATCTCAATCATAACTTCACGGATATTGGCTTTCAGTTGCTCAAGAGTTTGAGTATTGTTGGCGTAAACACGATTTTTCGCATAGCCCAAAAAATAAATCTAGCGGTGTAAAGTCGCAGGATCTTGCGGGCCAATTGACCTAACTCAATCTCGAAATTACGCGTCCTGGAAATTTATCTTGCAATAGGGCTCTAACTACCAGTGTTGTGCGACTCGTTGCCCATCCTTATGGAACCACATGTCTTCCACATCATAATCTTCAATTTTTCTCCAAAAATAATCGGTTATCATGCGTCTATAGCGCTTAGAATTGACTGTTATGGCTATTCCTTGATCGTTATCAAAAAAATACCGGCCAACAACAATACCGGACCATAATGCACAGCACTCGGTCACTTTTTAAGGATGCAAAGGCCTTTCTGCGATCACCTGAGGATTTTGAGAACTCCATATACGGCTGTTCTGTTTATTCACGTAACCACCGAGCGAAAAATGAACATTATCGCTGAAGAAAATTCGGTTCGAAAAATTATCATCAACGGCTTGTTGTTCAATCACCCAATTTGCGTATGTTCTGCGTTGTCCATGGTCTTGAGGCTTAAGTTAAGTTCTTGAGTCAGTTGGACGTTGCACGGATGGAGTTTCAAATCCAATTGCAAAATTCTCCACAATGAGCCGTAAGACAAGCCCAAATGTTGAGCACGTCGGGGAATCGACGAAATCGGGTCTTCCCCCACACTTTGAGGAAAAACAGCGATGTTTTCAGCTGAACGAATGTTGCGATGATGTACAGGCCTTACAATATCAGTAACCGATCCAGTCTCATCAAATGTTTCCACTGTTATATAATCTCCTAGCTGGGAGTTTAAACCATGCGTTTGTTATTATAAATTCTTGTTCTTTTCAAAGGAACCAAGTAAGTCTCCTCTATCGTTCTTCTCCCTGAGCCCATATGGCCTTATGATATCTTCTATCAGTCCCTTTCCAATCTTTGCGTTAAAATTTGCCATAATTATTGTTAGTTCTTGTTTGGGCAATTCTTTCGATATATTTCTAATTTGAGAATAAAATTAGTGTACTTACTAATCACAGTGTTGTGTTGTTGCCGCATATACTTGCATTAATGGCATTAAATGTCATTACATATAGTTCATTGAAAACATTGCTGTAATGCTGGATAGATGCCGTAATTGAAGAAACGGCATCTATCCAGTTCTTCTTATTGTAGGCGAGACTCAACATTTTAAAAAGCGATTCTCGGGGTATATATATTTTTCATTCATTAAGTTGAATTGTTTATCGATATATATCGTGTAACTGAACTGTCGATTTATACTTTTTAAACATATTTTATTTGGTTTGATTTATGAAATTATATTGAAAATGATACCCAGAGCCAGAATACCAAACGGAATCAAATATAGCTCCAACCGCATGGCAAAAACAATGTTAAATGCCCCACTTAAAATAAGATCATAAACATTCGTTAAAATAACTTAAATAACAAAACTTACCTTAAAGTACTTAATCCTTCAAAATCGGCATTTGATACTCCTTCAATTGCATTATTAGATATGTTCAACATTTTCAAACTTTGCAACATTTTCCAAATATTGGAGAAATCTTTACTGCTCGCAATTTCATTGTTAGACAAATCCAGAGTTTCCAATAAAGTAGTTCTTTCAAACATGCCACCAGTCAATTTTGAAATATTATTGTATGATAAGTTCAGATGCTTCAAAAACGGTGTTTCCAGTCTGTATAATGTTGAGATTCCCGTATTAGCCAGATTTAAACTCCTTACTGTTTTTGGCTCTCCGATAATATTGGCTAATGCTTCAGAGGACAGGGGATTGAAGGAAAAATCGAGTTTTTTAATATTGACCATTATATGATTGTCTTCCGGAATTTCCTCGATATTATTATGTGATAAATCGACATCATTCAAAGATAAATATTGGCGTTGGAGTGCTTTAAAGGGAGCATTTACGAATTTGTTTCGCGACAGAATTATTTTATTAAGCATTTGCAATTTTACTCGTTCAAAAATAGTTTCCGGTAAATCAACAAGGTAGTTGTTGGCCAGATTAAGTTCTTCCAGTCTGATCAAACCTTCAAAAATTCGGTCACCGAGTCTTTCCAATTGATTGGCACTTAAGTCAAGTCTTTGTAATTGGGTACTATTGTGAAACGCCATCTCACTTAAGTTTTCAAGATTATTATTTGATAACATTAGAACTCTTAAGCGGGGTAATCTGGCAAAATCTAGTTCATCTATTGCCTTCAGCATATTGAAAGACAAGTCGATATATTCTATGAATTGCAGATTTGCAATTAATTCAGCTGGAAAGAAAATTAGTTTATTGCTGTTGGCGATAATCTTTTTTAGTCTAGGATGAATTCTGAACGATGAAGGAAATAGGTAATTTAACTCATTATTTGATATATCTAGGAGCTCTAAACTTGTGCCAGTATTGAAATATTCTCCTTTAAATGATCTAAGTCGATTTCCTTTGAGGCTAAGCTGCTTGATATTCATCACAAATGCAAACGCCTCTTGCTTTATTGTTGTTATTCTATTATGGGATAAATCAACAACTGTTAGATTTGGCATATTCACAAAAGTTTTGCTAGGTATTTCTGAGAAATTGTTATGACCAATATAAATTTCGATTAATGAATTGGATTTCTGAAACAGTTCTGGAGAAATTGACTGCAATCCACAATAACTAAAGTCAATTACCTCAATTTCTTTTAATTCATTTAAAGTAGTTCCTAGTAGAATAGATAAATGAAAGTTATTACTCAAATTCAGTGCTTTAAGGGAAGATAAGAAATTAAATGGTGCATTCGGCAACTCTTCCAAATAGTTGTTACTCAAATCTAAAGTTTTAAGCGCGTTGAAAGGTAAAGGAGGTTTTTGGAAAGTCATGATTTTATTTTCGGATAAATCGAGATGCTCCAATGAGTCTTCAAGCCCAACAAATGCATCAGCGGATAAACTCGTTATCCAGTTTCTTTTTAGATCCAAGTTTTTTAAATTTCTGAAATTTTGAAACGTTGCACTGGAAAGCTCTCTAACAACGTTACTGGAAATCACGAGCTTTGTTACTCGTTCTGCAATTGAATGCAATATTTCACTGGACAAGGCTGTTATTCTATTGTAATCCAACTGGAGAGAAGTTAGTCGTGGAAGTCTACCCAAAGCCGATGCAGGGATTAACAAAATGTTATTATCTTTTAAATTCAGATATTCTAGATTATCCAGACCTTCAAATGCATCGTCTTCCACCTAAAATAAAAGCTTCTATTAGATGTGTTCCTATTGGAATCGAATTGTATGTTGGTAGAAACTACGACACAATTTAATTAATATAAGTTAAGGTTAAAGTTAAAAAATAGAGATAAAAAACAAATCAAATATTAATAGTTGTACGCAGATATTGCTATGCGTTTTGTTTGATATCTAAGTCAAACATAGGGTATTTTGAAAATTTTTTTCGTTCTTTGATGGATGTTGTGGAACAGGCGATGTCCTATAGGTATCCTCAATATGCCTAAACAGCCTAGCTTTAAATCTACAGGGTTTAAACATTTTGATGAACAAATCAATCACTTGCATACCGCTGTGAGCCAGAGACGTAGGAGAGAATGCATATGAAGGGTACAGGCTAAGAAGGGGGAACGTCAATTTTTGCTCATTTTGATCCGTTCAGTCCCTTCGATTTTAAACCCACCGAACTATCATCAAGTAACATCACACAGGCGAAAAAAAGAAGATTGACTAAATAATTTAAATTATGCTGTACTGGTTAAAAAGGAGGAGAGTCCGCGCGCCATGTGCTAAGAAGGGGGAGCGTTATAAATGCATAAACCCGTGTTGGTTGAGCTACAATTGGTACGTACGTAACAAAGACATCCACAACGACCTAAAAACTGACACTATCCCGGAATTCCTGACCAAAAAACACGCGAAATTCAAAGCCAAAGTGCTTAACCACCCAAACCCATTAGTCCAAAACACCTTCAAACTTCCTAGCAATGACCAGGGCCACAAAACCATCATGGCCCCCCTTAACTGGGATTAGCTCCCCAAAACCTCCACACAAACCCCCCTTTTTTTCTTCCTTCCCACCCTTCCCCCCCTAACCCCAACCAGAGGTGCCACGGGAAAAAATCCACTGGTCACTTCTACAAAGTACTCATTTAAAATTAAACTCTTCCAAATTTAAAACTTAAAAGTCCCGAAAAGGGCAGTCAAAAAAGAGCAAAAGTTCCAACGAACTAGCTCAAGTAAAATATCCAAAACATCCGGTTGAGCTACACACCGGCGCGACCCCAGGTGGCGGATAGGTGGAAAGCCGGTCAGATACATCTGATCGGTTAGTGACGGCCATACGCAAAAGCCGTCGCCGCGGACCAGCTCGAGAGACAAACCGCAAACCGCCTGCAGTGCAATTACTCTCGTGGCTCCGGTCTCGAGATAGGTACTGCAGGGGGCACGGGGATCTTGGTTTCACTACCCGGATCGCGTGATGAGGACACCATAACACCTCCCAATTCTTACGGTATAGCGCGCGCCAAGAGATGCAATGCTGGGGGGAAGCCCAGCTAATAGTAACTAACCTTGAGGCAACAGACGCACCTCATTGTATTAGCCTTACCCACACATGCGTGGCTCTGTGTGGGTGGCCCAACCTTTCCCTAGCTGCTCGTGGGAATGATATGGACAGCAACATAGCATCACCACCAAATCCCGGCGGGGCTTCCTCGGAAGAACCATCGGGCTCTGCAGCTGGCGATCGACCGAGGGGTAAAAAACTCTCGGTAGCCGCCAGACGGAAGAAAAGAATGGTTAGGGACAAACAAAAATTTCGACCAACCAAAACTGTGCCAGATAGGCCCTCAAGGGAATCAGCACACACCAAGGAAGCTGCCACGACTGGGACGCAAAAGCCACACCGGTCGGATGGCAGAACACCAGACAAACCGCACCTAAGCGGCTGTGTATGGGAACTTCCGTAAGGAAAGAACCGCACACAAGTCGTACAGGGACGCGATTTTCGGGATTAAGATGGCCATAGCGGCGGTCGGACATCCCGAGAAAAACTTTTCTCCTGAGCAGGGAGAACTCATAAAGAGGCACCTGCTTGAGAGAATTGATGAACTGCAACCAGGGACCACGAATCCTAAATTTGCAGAATGCCGCTATCAGGGGGCGCCCTTCTGATCGCCTGCTCTGACCAGGCCACTGTGGATTGGATCGGTGCGGTGGTGAGAGAGGCGAAACCTTGGACTGGAGCGGAGCTGGTGCTTGTGGAGGCAAACAGGCTTCCCAAGCCAAAGCGCGTGTTCATCCCCGAATTACACCTCCGGAGAGGACACTACACAGGATCGGTGTCCAAAATAATCTGAACACCCGTACCTGGAAGGTTGTGGGGTTGGGGAGCGAGCAAGCCAGCGGTAGCCATAGCCATATACCCCACTACAATCAGATCACAATGTGTGCTAGATTGTGTAAAAGAACTTACAACCCTGGCCGGGAGCTCAAACAGAGTAAAACTCACTTGGGCAACTGGTACGAACAGGAGCAAAGAAAACGAGATTGCTGCG